CCCAGCTCCAGGTTGAGCTGTTGTTCAGCATCTTAGCTGTAGAGGGCAGTGTCACTGGCCCTCATATGTGGGATCCGAACCGGGGCCCTCTGGAGTCCCAAGCCAGCTCTTAACCATCACGCCACTCGGCCAGCCCAGGGGGTGGTATTTAGTCTTGACTCACCCATACCCTAGGACTCAGGTGTGAGTAAGCTCAGAAGAGGTAGGCCAAAGAACGCTTTGTCTCACAGACACTGTCAGAATCTTATCTCCTCCAGACCCAGGAACCCAGACTATCTCTCTTAGGGTGAATTTTTTCACCAGGAAAGTATCTGGCTAGAGATAAAACAGATGGCTGGAAGGCCCATTCCCAATCATCACAAAGACTTGCTTTGACACGTAAACTCTGGGGAATGCACAGCCTAACCTCAGATTGGTATCTTTTCCTCACGTCATGTCATACGTTGAATATCTATTACATTCCTTGCACCAACGAACTGAAACCCAGAGTGCTTGTCAGTGCTTTGAACTATGGGTTCCAGGCTTCCTTTGCCTCCCTTCTCTGTTGATGTTAGACACTTTCCATACTGTGTAGCTGCGACATATGACGAGTGTGCTCCAGAGCTCCACTGAAATGGGAAATTTATATAGCATTGACCTTCAGACGTTCCAGGGCAAGAGAAAAGGTGCAAGAAATGAGGAACATAGTAAACCTATGGAGGATAATAATAGCACACACTTGCCTGGCAAATGTGATGTGCCAGACACTGTTCTGTGTGTCCCACAAGCATTGATTTATTTCATCTCAACATCTACCTCATAGGATTGTTATATGTTACCCTCACTTTACAGAGAAGGAAACCAAGACTCTGAAAGGTTAAGTTACACCCTCAGGATCACCGAGCTTTCTCAGAACCAGGGTCCAAATCCAGAGGGATTGCCTCCAGAATGCACGTTCTTCACCACTGTGTTATATTTCATGGCCGCCATTAAACTGTTCTCACTGGGAGTTGACTTATCTGGAAGGAATGCCCTTTGCCCTTCCAAAACTAAGAATTGAATGGACAAGCAGGAGTTTCCAATGAACTCTCCCTAAGATGTCCCCTCTTCAAAGGACACATAAGATGTCCCCTCTTCAAAGGACACACACACACACACACACACACACACACACACACACATTGATCTCCGGAGCCATTGAGTACTGTATCCCAAATAACTTTTTTTTTAATGAAATGATGATACTAATTTCTGATTATGCAATAATGAAAAGTTTCATTTGATACTATATTTAATTTTTTCTAACTTCCCACAAGAACTATTTTTCCTCACAGAGAGTTTTAGCAATCAAAACTATTTCTTCCTTCCCAGAAATGAAAGGACTTCTCTTATCTCAGGACCCGTTAATGGCTATCAGTTTTGGTTTGATGCC